TTAAAGTTTGCATAAAAAGAGGCAATGGCTTACTTTAATCAAAAGAGTAGATTCTGACTCATAGCAACACTATAGGGCAGAGTGGAACTGTCCCCATAAGGTTTCCAAAGAGCGGCTGCTGGATCCGAAGTGCTAACTCAGCTATGAATAATATGGAAACCCTGATGGTGTAGTGATCCAGTTCGAATCCACCAGGCACTCCTTGGAAACCCTATGGGGAAGTTCTACCCTGTCCTACAGAGTTACCATGAGTCAAAATCGACTCAATGGCAATGGGTTTGGTTTGTTTGGATTATGAATAATATGTACATAGTCATAATCATGTAAGTAATGAATAGTGATTTACCTAAATAGGGTGATGTAGATATATCGAGGGAAGGAGGATGGAAAAATAACACATTTATGAGAGAGTGTTAAGTGTAAATACAGATCTTATTTCCTATACCAAGAAGTAAAATAATAGCACAAACTGAAAAATCAAGAACTAGCAGTATAAGGATATTATTTTAAAATATCAGAAGAGATAGCTAAAAGATAAAGAAGAGATTGTCTCTGGGGAGTAGAAATTGAGTGGGGAGGGTTGGGGCAGGGTCTGCTGTTTTTCATTATAAGCTTAGTGATACTGTATTTTTAAAAAATGTATTGATGAAAATAAAAACATACAATTATTGTAGTATTTTGTATGTTTGAAAATCTTTGTTGTCAGAGAGGAGGGACTGTTTTCATAAGCATTGTAAGATACTGGGAAACAAACAATACTAATATCCTTCTGAAAGAAACTAAAAATTCCCCCTACTTTGGTCTGAACCATGTGTTGCTTTGTTATTTAAGGGCTCCAGTAACTCGTCAGCAGCAGTGGGACCAGCAGCTCGAGGAACAGACAGATAATATTCTGGCCCTGTGCATTGCTGTTATTATTGTGGGCACGACCAAGTGATGGCAGTGGCATGATACACTTATGTGGCTTCATATGCAGCAGAGGGCAGATCTCACTAAACGGGGCAAGTAAGAGGGAGCATTCTAGCAAGTGCACATGGTAAACGAGAGGGCTCATATAAGACATTTCCAAGGTGTGCTCAGAAGTACTTCAGGGGGTGTGTGTGTGTGTGAATCCTGTCATAACCAGTGGAGGCATGATCCAGGGAAATCATCATCGATACTGTACATGACTCCATTTGTACTCCCAGGCTGGTGTGGCCTAGGCAAGTGCTGGGTAGACCAGAAAAGTTGGGGTGGGGAAATAAGAAAGAAAGGGGTGTCCAGAGTGCTGTTTGATCACTGAAAGGGAAGAGGATAAGCAGGCGGCAGACTATCTGGAGCTGGTATAGCCTTGGTCCTTGTCATCCATTTGTCCTAGATACATAAATTGCCATTTCTGTTTCTAACCTTCTGACTTCCACACTTAAATTTAGAGAAGGTTCCTCTTCTTCTCCTGACATCCCCCACCAGAGAATTTTTCAGGCCTCACAAAGAAGAGAGCCCAGGCCAGGTGGGAGGGTGCACCTGGGCCTGTGTCGCTCCTTAAAGAGCAATGGAATAAGGAAACCTAGTCACAAAGAAGCAAGGAAAGGGAAGGAGGAAAGGAGCAGGTTCTAAGGTGCCAGTCCTTTCTGTAAACAGAATAACCCCCATGTGACCTGAAGGTCTAGGAAGACCTTAGGTCAGAAATCTCCCCTTTCCTGCCTAATATAGTGCCCAGGTCCCACCATCTGTACTTCTCCTTTGGGCATCTCAGCATTGCCCTCTCATGGCCAGAAAGGTACCTGATAGTTTTCTCTCAGACTGACCAGCGGAGCCTCTCCCATTCCCCTTTTGCTTTTCCCTGGTCTCCACAAACATTTATTGGTTTTTACTCCATCCCAGTCTCTGTGGGTACAAAGATAAATAAGACAAGGTCCCTGCTCTCTAAGAGGAGGGGAGGTTGGGAGTATAGAAGCAGATATGAAGACACAATGTTACTATAATGGGGTAAGTTAGGAAAGAAAACTGCACAAACACAGAAGGGAGTACATTTAAGTAAAGGAAGGCTTTCTGGCTTAGAAGACTCCTGACCAAAAGGAAAAGTAAGAGCCATCTAGGTATGAGCAGTGCAGAACAAGAACTGACCCCTTCACTTCTATTGAGTCCCCTAAAATTATATTCATTTGTTGGCAGACATACCTCCCCTAAACCCTTGGTTCTAGCTGTGCCAGTTCCTCCTTGTCACCCTAGTCCTAAGCCCAACCTGAGTCTTCATTCAGTCTCCATCCAGGCAGTCATTTCAGTCATACTCCTCTCACGGCAGCCACATTCTATATTCTAGAATGGTGCTGCCTAATATAAATGTTCTAATATCTACACTTAAAAAGTAAAAAGAAACAGTGAAATTATTTTAATAATATAGTTTATTTAACACAATATACCCAAAATATCACTTCAACATTAATTATTAGACAACTGAGATATTTTGCATGTTTTTTGTACTAAGTCTTTGAAATTCAATGTATATTTTACACTTACAGCATGTATCAATTCAGGCTAGCCACATTCAAGTGCTCAATTGCCACATGTGGCTGGTGGCTACCATACTGGACAGTACAGGCTGAGTGTACTTGGCATTTCTTCATTAGACAGATGAGGCCCATCAGACTGGGGCATTACTATGTATTTCCTCTAAGCCTCTATACTCCCATTCAAAGCCCTGAGAACAATTTTGAAGAAGGAAGAGAAGGCTTATGAGGTTTCAGCCAAAGAGTGAGCACTCCCTTTAGATGTCAAATCTAGAAATTAACCCTAAACTGATCGTAAATTTGCTGCTGAATCAGCTTTTAGCAACCATAGATCCAGTCCCTCATAGTCAGATATATCTGACCCTGGGTGTCTCCACATTGTCCTCTGGCCAGCAGAACACCCACTACAAAAGCCTGATAATTCACTAATGTTTTAGCATCTTCACAGAGCGGCATGCAAGGGCCCTAGTGAGAAGTCATCTATCCCTGCCACTCTGGTTCAGGTTGGGGCTCTGTACCACTTGCTATTTGGGACTGAAAAGGGCTAAATATATTTGGTGCAATAACACAAGAAGGTGTCAGATTCTAGCATTAACAAAAATCACATGGGAGAAAAAAATGGAGAAAATTGTGTCCATTACAGTGTAGCGGGGGAAGGGTCTGGGGACCATGGTTTCAGGGGACATCTAGGTCAACTGGCATAACAAAATTTATTAAGGAAATGTTCTGCATCCCACTTTGGTGAGTGGCATCTGGGGTCTTAAAAGCTAACAAGTGGCCATGTAAGATGCATAAATTGGTCTCAACCCACCTGGAGCAAAGAAGAATGAAGAACACCAAAGATATAAGGAAAATATTAGCCCAAGAGACAAAAGGGGCCACATAAACCAGAGACTCCATCAGCCTGAGATGAGAAGAACTAGATGGTGCCTGGCTACCACCAATGACCACCCTGACAGGGAACACAAGAAAGTCCCTGATGGTGCAGGAGAAAAGTGGGGTACAGAACTCAAACTCTAGTAAAAAGACCAGACTTAATGGTCTGACTGAGAGTGGAGGAACCCCAGAAGACAGCCCCTGGACTCTATTAACCCAGAACTAAAACCATTCCTGAAGCCAACTCTTCAGACAAAGAATAGACTGGACTATGAGACATAAAATGATAATCGTGGAAGAGTGTACTTCTTAGTTCAAATAGATACACTAGACTAATGGGTAGGTCCTGTCCAGAGGCGAGATAAGAAGGCAGAAACGGATAGGAGCTGGTTGAATGGACACGGGAAATCCAGGGTGGAAAAGAGGAATGTGTGGTCACACTGTAGGGATAGCAACTAGGGTAACACAACAACGTGTGTATAAATGTTTCTATGAGACACTAACTTGAGCTGTATACTTTCACCTAAAGCACAATGAAAAAAAGAAAAGAAATTGTGTCAGTTAATTAAATCATTTCCACAAACTAGGAAAAGACCACCTTTAAAATTTGTTTAAATACCTAAAAACGGGTATTCCATGGTAGCAGAATTTCAAATCCATAGATGGAGTAAAATCCCCTCATATTACAGACAAGAGAGGGAAAGTTATTTGCCCAAGGTCATTCAGCAAATCCATAGGGGTTGTGATAAGCCCCAGGCATCTTTCCATTACTCCCACTGTCCCCACTAACCGAAAAAATATTTCAGTGGGAGACACTGTGCCATCTCCAGAGTACTCCTGACCACCCCCGGGAAGATCGGTCAGCGTACCCTCAACCTCGACTTCGGAGCCAGGCGCCCTGAATAGACACTGCCTCACCGGGGCGTAGCGCCACGATTCCCCACCTCCTGGAGTTGCTGGCGAAGGAGGCTGCTAGGGCGGTTCTTTCGCCAAGTCCACACCTTCCGGAGCCTGGCCTGGCTCAGCCCCGCTGCTGTGGCCCAGTTCCTGCAGCAGTTCCCATCAGGAGGCAGGCGGCGAACCCGAAGCAGAGATCACACTCAGTAGAGCATCTCTCAGAGACTGTTTGAAACCTGGCATGGAGCCGTGTCCGGAAGGCGCCTAGGCTGCAGGTTAGTGCCCAAAGCTCCGGAGACGACCCCCGACCCCCTGACTGGGGGTGAGCTTCGCTGAGGGATGCCTTGGCCAGTCCCAGGCCGGTCTCCACTCCTAGCATGCGCCCTGCCTGCGCCAACCGGGATGGGCCGCCCTCCTACCAATTCCTGGGACTTGAGCTCAGTGGGTCTCCAGAGCTTGGCAACGGCCCCGGCTCTGCATGGATTGCTGGAGAACTTTAGAGCACACTGGCGGTTGCACAAGCTCCCGTCGCTTCTACGCCCGGGAAAGACATCCAAGCGCCTTAAAAACCCCGCTGGGCCGAGGCTGCCACCCCTGAGAGGCCCCTTTCCTTTCCGGGGCCCGAGTGTAGCCCGGGCCAGGCGCCCGGACCGCGCAGCCTCCGGTCCCTTAGCACGGGGAACCATTTCCGGGGCGGATGCTTTTTGCAGCTGACCCGGCGCGGCCCGTGACGCGGTGGCCTAGACGGAAGTGCCGGCAGAGGTGCTGGAGCCGGATCTCCACCCCGAGCCAGGAGCAGGTCTCGGGGGCTCCGGGCTGTGGGGACATCTGGGCCTGTCCGCGATGGCGATCCTGTGGGGAGGCCTCTTTCGACTTGGCTCCATGCTGGCGCTCTCCGTTCTGCTCCTCGTGCAGCTGTCAGACGCCGCCAAGGTGAGTCCCGCCCAGCCTTCACTCCTGACAGCAACTCCTCCCCTGCCTTCAGCCTTACGGAAACAGCCTGTCAACCAGGTCCCCACCTCCTACCTCTCCCAGCACTGACAGCCGGACCCGTGGCTTCACAGCCCTGGCAAACCCCCCACCCGTAACCCTTCCAACTGCCTGGTAGCACCACTCTTGCCCTCCAGCCTTGACAGTCTGACAGTCCATCCCTGCCGCAGCCCTGACAGTACTCTCCTCTCTGCCGTCCTGATAATCTACCCACCCCTTACACCCAGCCCTGACAGTGCCCCACAGCCCGGGCAGTAACTCCTCCACCTCACTGACATTTTCCATCGACAGCACCCACCTAAAACTTTACAACGTTTCCATCTCTGAGAGCAACCGTCCATTCCACCCTTAAGCTCTGACAGCCTACCCACCCTCCTTCAGATTCACGGGTCCCCTAACCCCGAGCCAAAATTATAGGAAGCCCCCATCTCACAGAAATCTTCCCTCTTAGGAACTGACTTTCATCTCAACTCATACCTGAACAGGTTCCCTTCCCAATGTAGGAAGGTTCCCTCCCAAAAGGGCCTACGGAGTATATCTCTCCAGCTTAATATCCTCACCTCACTCCTTCCAGGACCTCCCAGGACCTTTTTTGTCTTCTCTCTTCCTGATAATTTATTGGGCAAGGGAGGAGCCAAACTACAGGAGAGGTGAGGTTATGTCCTCTCCCCATTTTCATGTCTTGTTCCTTCTAGTCCCCTCATGCTGCTAGCTGGTTCCCCTCGTGCCCCTAACCACCAGATCTGCCCTGGCCCCATACAAGTTTGTGCTTCCTCCTTGTCATGTAAGGATTTAATCTTAGAAAATTAATAGAGAGATACTCAGGTTTGTCACACATAAACTCATTTAGTTTATTGCAAGGTAGTCATGGCAAGGCACGCAGGTAAGACCTCACAACATTCATTTAGAACCAAGAATCAAAATTAACAATTACAATGTTAATGCAATGGTTAGAGTCCAGATCTTTATACTTGAGAAGTCTTGGGAAGATGGCTTAACCACGGCTGAACTCAGCTGACGTCCCTCATAGCTAGGGTCTGAGGTTGGTGGCAGCAGGCAGAGTCTAAGCAGGCTCTTGGTGTTTACCTCTACCTTCTCTCAGTGAGTGAGCAGAAATTCAGGGTTTATATGTGAAATTCTCACCTTCACCTCACACAGTAAGGGTCAGTGTAACATCAAAGACTAGTGTGTTATATCATTTCTTCCAGGTTACAGATTAGCCAAATGTCACATTTTTCTTCCAGGATACAAATTAGAGAGGTTGTTTAAGTTCAGGGGTTTTCTAAATAATACTTTCATGGTTTATAGTTAATGATAGCCTCACAAAGGTACACATATTTCTATTTCTAAATTCATATTATGAGTGCTTATGTGTATGTATTTTGAAAGCATAAAATAGTGACTTATACCTTACGGGATTTGAGATTATAGAAACATACAGAAAATTCCTTGATGCCTAGCTTCTTATTAGGAAAAACAGAAGAAACCTGCATTAATGTGATGGGAAAACAATGCATTTGCATTTTTTAAAAATAGGAGCTTTAATCAATAACATCTTTGAATATTAAAAAAAAACCCATTGCCGTCAAGTCAATTCCGACTCATAGTGACCCTATAGGTCAGAGTAGAACTGCCCCCCTAGGATTTCCAAGGGGGGCTGGTGGATTTGAACTGTTGACCTTTTGGTTAGCAGCCGGGCTCTTTAACCACTGTGCCACCAGGGCTCCATCTTTGAATATAGGGGTTGGGAAAGCTACAGGCAGGCAAATATTTTTGATCAAGCATTCTTTCTGAAACCTTTCCTACCTCCCACTAGACATGGGCAGCAGCAAGTCTCCTGACTTTCAAAACATTGCTGATGTTCTCTGCATATCTCCTTCACTTTATGCAGTGAATTGTAATCATGTATTTATGAGTCTTTCACTAGGGTGTGTCCTAATTAAAGGCAGGAACCATGTTTTACCCTTATCTGAATCCACCTTAAGAGTACAAGGTGTGGCACAGAGCAAATGCTCACTAAGTGGTTGCCAGATGAAATGGCAACAGCTCTGCCAGACATACCACTGTATATAGGAGCAGTGCCACTGGCCTGGTCCTTTGGGGACTGATGAACTACTGCCATCTCAGATAGATTTCTTTTCTCTTTGCTGAGGAAGCATCTCCCTCACCCTGTACCCAGATGTTTAGTCACCTCTTCCTCCACCTCTTTAAACTTGCTTTGTCAGTAGTTGCCCTCCTCTCTGTCTGTTATGGATTCAATTGTGTCCCCCCAAAACGTGTTGTAAATCTTAACCCCTATACCTGTGGATATAATCTCATTTGGGAATAGGGTTTTTATTGTTCTGTTAATGAGGCCGTATCGTGAGGCTGTGTCTTAAACCAATGACTTTTGATATGTAAAAGAGCAGATTAGGCACCGAAGCAAGGAAGAACAGATAGGGGAAACATTCTAGGAACAGAAACTGAAAAGAGACAAGGACCTTCCCCCAGAGCCCATAGAGAGAAAAAAACCTTAGAGCTGGTGCCCTGAGTTCAGACTTTTAGCCTCCTAAATGTGAGAAAATAAATTTCTGTTAAAGCCACCCACTTATGGTATTTCTGTTACAGCAGCACTAAGAAGCTAAGACACGGTCTATCAGGAATTAGAAGCAAAGTTTGCTGGAAAGGGTAAACCATACTGATCTCAGCTAGAATCAAGATACTTCCCTTATGTAGTTGCTTTCTAGTTATGGCTGGGTGCCTCTGAAATGTCATCCCTTATAGAATTCTGGCCCAACCTGTCTTGTCCATGTTAGTGCCCTTCTACCAAAGGATGTAAGGATGGTGGGTAGAAGAATTATGGCTTGTGAGTTGTGAATAGTTTTTAGTTTGATTCTTTCCCCATCTCTTTGTAATCAGCATTCTTGTTTACAGGTACAACTCTATGTTTACTGTGTGTTTTTCTACTGGCAGATAGATTGTGATAAAGTTAAAACAATTTTATTGTCATCAAAATGGTTAATAAGTCACAGATCATGTATTAGATATTTTCATGTAATATATGATGATTCATATTAACATCATCATAAAAGAATCTCTAGCTTTTCAAAATTTATCTCTCTTAAAGTTATTTAAAGTTTTAATTGAGTGATTTTAGAATATTTGGCAAGGGATGCTTAGCAAAGCATATATGGTATGGTTTTTTAAAAATATTAATAAACTGTCAACAAGCTATACTAAGTTTCCGTTTTGGTTACAGAATTTCGAGGATGTCCGGTGTAAATGTATTTGTCCTCCTTATAAAGATAATTCTGGGCATATTTATAATAAGAACATATCCCAGAAAGATTGGTAAGTATTCTAGTTTATTGAATTACTTGTCAAACTTCTTTCCATTGTTGTTACTATTGGCATAGAATTTTCATCCAATGTATAGGGTTTTTTTTTTTTTTAACAAAAGTGTCAAATTCTATTTACCTTTGAAAAGTGAGAGAAAGACTCTGATTACATGTCACCCTAAAGGAATATAGCCAAAACACTAGGCCCCACATAGGTAGGGTTTCATATGGGCATAGGGCTGAGTTAGTGACACATAAACTACCCATAGCTACCTTCCTGTGCTGCCCTCTTCTACCCTCCAAATTTTATTTTAAGGAACTTTTCTTCCTCTTGCTTTTCAGGGTGTTGTAGGGGAGAAACATCATAAAGTTTAGTAAAGCAATAGAAAGTTTTATTCAGCATATATTTAAAAGGACAGAAGTGGGAAGTGGACAAGCATGCTGCCAGAGCTAGAACGTCTGCCCAAATCTGAGGAAGGTTACAGAATCATCAGTATATATAAACATCACGAAATGGGTACAATCATTGAAAGCGTCACCTTTTCACTGATTGGCTAGAAATTGTGATCTTACATTTTAAATCATCTTTCTTAACAATTATTTGTACAGGTTTCAGTTACAAAAGTCAGGGGGGTCTTCATTGGTCCAAAAATTTCTATTCACTAAATGCTAATAGAAGAAGACAGAAAGTGGGAAGTCTTTTGTGTTAGGATGATTGCCCTTTTGTGAAAACTTCCTGAAGATAATTTCTGAGATTGTCCCATCTATTGTCTATCTCAGGGCCCAGTTGATGTGTCTTTGTGAGTCTGTGAGGGCCCAGCCCCAGCTGGGTCACATTTCTCCATGCTCAAGGTCAGGGAATAATGATTCCAAATATTATTTTCTAAATCATTCCCTCCTTTTAATCGTAGATTGGAGATAAAACATCGATGATCAATACCTGGACTTAGTCGAGCTTCTAGATGGTGGCCGTGGCAGGCTCTTTAAGCTCACGGTGCTGGTTTTCCACCAGATACTATCTGGTTCTTCACCAGGCTGTTAAGTAAGAACGATGTTCTCATCAATTGCATTGCCAGAGTGAGCAGACTCAACGTACATCAACATTTTAGCCCGAGGCCTTCTTTTGCCTTTTAGGTGTATAAGACAATAGAAGATAAATCTTATTATACCTAATACTGTCAGGATGCAGACCAAGAATATTACTATCCCTTGCAGTAGTGATCTAGCCCATGTACTTATTCCTGATGGCAACCAACCAAATAGATCTGGTGTTTATAACAAGTAGCTTGTTGTCTAGTTCTATGTATATTCTGTTCTACTTCTCCTGTGTTATTTATCCAAATTGCAACAAGAGGTATTTACTACAGCACAGACTCCACCTTCTTGGGCTAATAAAAAGTCCAAGGCTATTCTGTTGTCTAATGCCACTTTGGCCAATGAGGTCAGGGATCACTGTTGTGCTTCCATCCCTCTAGCAACTTCATCTATTATTTGTACCATAGTAACTGATAAATTTCTTAAAGATTTCTCCAATTCAAATATACCATAACTAGGAATTAAAGCTCTTAGAAATGACCAACCCCACCCTGAACGTTGGACCAATGGGCTTTCTTCTGACTCTTGTTTTACAATAGATAACAAATTAACATTACCTTTCCAGTATTTACTAGCATCATTATTATGAATATGTAAAGGTAATCCTAAGGTTCCCAAAGTGCATTGCCCACGCATTCGCCAGGAATCTAAACAAGAGATTGCCCATGTAAATTCACTGTCAGTTGGAAAGGGATCATCTAAGCTAGTATAGTTGGATCCACCACACAGAAACATATATTCATAAGGAGCACACAAAGTTTGTCCAGAGGAAACAGAAGGTATAGAAAAATTTGCATGTGACAGCCATGTCTCCATTAGAGAATTATCACAGATAGTCTTCCTAGTTGTAATTCTATATATGTAAGGTTTTTCCAACATTGATTATTATAACTGTGAGGATGAGGTTGGATTATGGACGAGTTAGATTATGGATTGCAATTTCAGTTAGCTTATAGCACTCTTCATACCAATCACTTAAATCTCTAGGAGGGTATTGATATAATTCTATAAAATGTCCATTCTTATTACAAGACAAATGATGATATCTTTGGAGTAACTGGGTATCACACAAGTAGTCATTTAACCTGACAGAAGTGATATTAAAGCATGGTATAGGTAATGTTTGTGTTACAGACAGAGGAGTCCATCTCTTAACTCTAATGGCACAGATTAAAGTTTTACTAGACTTTATAGTGGGAGGTGGAATCAAATGATAATTTAACATGGGGGATGCTAAAGGATCAGAGTTTTGTTTAACAGAAAGAGGGTTTTGATGACAAATCCAACATTGTGTTAAATTACCAGCGCTTGCTACAGATTGTGATAATCGGACAAAAGCATTTTCATTCCAAGTATCTATTCTTCTAACAAATAAAAGAATAACTAAATAAACAGTCAACATCATTTTAAATCAGAATTACTTAATATAGATTAGCTAAGTGATAAAGAATATAACAAATAATAAAATATCTAAATTGTACTTTTGAATCACTCATCCAAAGGAGGTGGTAGGTTGGTGGTCGTTTTGGGACGGTGTCTGAATTTTAGTCCTCCTGCTTGTTCAATCAGCCAATCAGGAACCTTGGTCTTCTTTAATTGGGAAAGATGTACCCAGGATTTTATACCCTGTAATTTTGCAGCAAATTCATTTGTTAATAAAACTAAGTAGGGACCCTTCCATTTTGGTTCTAAAGAGTCCTTTATCTGGTGCCGTTTCCAATATGCGTAGTCACCAGGTTCTGGGGCACGATAACCTGTATAATCAGGAGGAGGAGTTTGAGCATAAGCATGTTTAATCACTTTATCGTTTGCTTTAGCATGCTGTATTAAGCTTTGACAATACTTTAACAAACTATTTGAGATCAAATTTGAATCAGAAATTATAACATTATAAGGAAGAGGCATAATACGTCCAGTGACTGTTTCAGATAGCGTTAACTTGCGAGGACCAAAAGGAGTAGATAGCAGATTCATCAATACAATTGGAAGCACTTGAGGCCGTGTTACATTTAAAGAAGCAGTAAGCTTAGCTAATTGAACTTTTATTATTCCATTTGTTCTTTCAACTAGTCCTGAAGATTGCGGATGATATGGACAGTGTAATCTACGCAAGATTGGAAAAATGTTACAAACTGCTGCCAAAATCTGGCCAGTAAAGTGAGAACCTCTGTCGCTACACAGGGTATGAGGAGTACCCCACACAGGAAGAATATTTTCTAACAATTTTTTAGCAACAAAGTTTGCAGTAGCATTCCGACAGGGAAATGCTTCTGCCCAATGAGAATATCTGCATATCATAACTAAAACATACTTATGATTTTGAACTGGGGGAGGTTGTATAAAATCCATTTGCCAGTCAGTCATGGGTCCAGTAGGAAGGGGATATCGACCCTGAGGAGTCGAAAAAGTTTTCCCTGGGTTAAATTTTTGGCAAATAGTGCAATCTTTTACTACTTCATTCACTGCTTTCCAGAAATGACCCCAGTTGTATTTTCTGATTTTTTGTAGAGTTTTATCTCTTCCTAAATGATCTCCTTGGTGGAGACTGTAAACTGCAGGAAGATGTAAATCTTTCGGCAGGACCAGAGTTTGATCATGTCCGATCCAAAGATCTGTGTCAAAATTTAGAGTACATCCCTTCTTTTCCCATATATCTTGTTCTGAAGGAGGTGTGGCTTTTTGGTGTAAGGGTAAACTGTGCCACCTAGCATCTGTTTTCTCTAGATCTTCTATTAATGGTGGAGGCAAGCTTGATTTCCATTCCCAACAAACTTTACATTTTTCCCCATTTCCAGAATGGATGTATTCAGGACGATAATTATCTAATCCTGTACTTTCATACATTAATAGAAGTCTATTTATTGTATCAGTCTGTCATACAAATAATATGCTACATTTGCAAAGTTTCCCCCAAGATGTTTATCTAAGAACCATGTTTATCTTCGTCCCATCGTTCCCTAAATTCTAATAAGCAGGCTAATAACAAAGGTATATGTATTCCCTTAGGAATAACAATCCTGTTTCCAGGACCTAGCCACAATTCAGTTTCTATATTAAAATGGCATGTACCTGCTCTCCATTCTTTTATTTCAGTTTCGGTGGCCAATTTTTGGTACCCTTCTAATATCTCTAAACTTGGATTCTCAGTTAAAAATAGGGACTTGGTAGATTTCTGCATTTCTAATTTTTGGTTTTGTATAAGCTTAGGAGAGGTCATAGTCTCAATAGATTCTGTTTTGACTATCTTTAAAGGATTTTCAGGTAAAGTTGGGCTAGGTTTTTTTGTCCTTCTACCAGCCACTTTTTTGGTCGCAGCATCAGCTAATTCATTCCCGATTACTTCCTCAGTCTGAGGCTGTCGTTTTGACTGGTGTGCTCGTATCTTAACCCCAGCTATTTCTGAAGGTAACAGTAAAGCATCTAAAAGTTCACCACATATTTCCCATTTTTAATGGGAGATCCTCCCGTTGTTAAAAATCCTCGCTGTTTCCATAACATCCCAAAATCACGTGCCAAACCAAAGCAATACTTCGAATGTGTATATATGGTCACAGATTGATTTTTTGCTAATTTACAAGCTTGGGTAAGAGCTGCTAACTCGGCTTGTTGTGCCGAAGTTACCTGAGGCAAAGGTCCACCACGCTTCAGTACCTCTGAGGAAGTAGTCACTGCATATCCTCCCTGATATTTGCTTGAAGTGGGATCTGGTTTTAAATAACCGTCTACAAATAAAACTAAAGAAGGGTTAGCCGAAGGAGTTTCTTTCAAATCAAAGCAGTCATGCGGTACTCCTTCTTCTTCAGGGAAAAGAGTAGTTGGATTTAAAGCTTTAACAACATGTATTTGAATATTTGGGGCTGTCAATAATAAGGCTTCATAAGAGGTTAACCTGTGGCAGATAAATGCTGAGTCAAAGTA